TATGAAGTTTAAATAGGTTAATTATAATTAAATAGGTACAAATTTAGGTAAGTACGACGAATCGTACAATATAATATACTAATTATTATTATTGAGTTGTCCAAATGGACATGGGCGATGGACCAGTTGCGCCTATAACAAACGTTGTATTTTAGGGTCAGTCAGTACTCAGTATACCAATTGAGCTGCTTATATTTTAGGCCAGTATACCAATTGCGCTGCATATACTTTAAGTATATAAAATAATATTATAATAGATTGTAACTATATTATTTGTGCGTATTAGATTTTATATAATATAATATATACCTATTATATTATTAAAGTTCATTTTCATTATATTCCAATAAAAATATTGTTATATAATATGCTATTGAATAAAATTAATATTACCCTGAAAATTACCGAGTTGCGAGTTCAATATCGGTATAATCGATCCTGAAAATGACCTTGCTTTTGAACACTAGTATGAAAATATGGGATTTCGACCTCCCAAATGCCCCAACTAAATTCACTTTCTTTCGAACTGAAGTTGAAAATCGAAACATTATTTCGACTACTTATCGTGTTATGTTTACTGCAGACACAAAAAAAAATTAAAATTAATAAAACACATCATTGTAAAATTAATACATTCATCGCTCCGCTCAGGATAATAAAAGAACATAAAATTAAAATTGGTTTTAGAAAGTGTCTTTCAACTGGCTTAAAATAACCAGGTAATATCAGACTTATGTGATTTTTATTTATGAAAAAGTTTAAGTGATATCATTTTAATTTTTGGAGCCATACAAAATTGTTTAGGTACCCTTTTATTGATAACTGCTATACCTACCTCCCCCAAGAGGACTTCACATCACTGTATTTTGGGTACAATACATGTTTTCGTGGAATAACTTAACGTAAATTGCGGAAGCTAAATTAGGAATATAGATTCCTCGTACAGCAACCAAAAATTTATTTCATAGCATTCACAGATATACTTAGGTATAGTGCAATAGCGTCGGATTTTTTTCAATAGGGATCATTCGTATAAATCGAATAATTAGGCAATAAAAACCATTTTTCTTTTTTTCTAATTTACGAATTAAAATTATATAATATACATATAGGTATATTTAAAAATTATTATGTTATTACACAATACACTGATCAAGGTATTTTGTATGTACGCAAGCAGAAGGCATTTCAAATAGTAAACTAGGTATTTGACTATACCTTTTGTATAAAGTGTACCTACTGTGCATTTAATATTTTAACAATTATTACAAATTACAAACTTCTCTTCACACAGCTTGGACGACAGTAGAAAAACAATTATTGAGAATCTTCGGCATCAAATGTTGTGGTCACTCCTTACTCGTTAGAACACAAATTTATTCTCAAAATAGGTACTTTAAATTGTAGTATTATTGTAAGTAAAGTTATCATAGTATATAGCTAGAATATGTAATCAGACGCTGTGACGACCGACGTTGTGACAACTGATCTCGGTATAGGGAATGACAAATTAAATTTAAGAAATGCGATAACCTTTCCAGGGTTTCCTTGCCATCGGGCTTGACCGATTGACGTTGGTGCATACATATTATTTAATATAATATAATATTGTTGTTTTGTTTTATTACAAGATCTCCATACAAAATATTATTTTGTATCAAAATTGTAAGCTTTTTCACCAAGCCTAAAAATATTCTATATTATGAACAAGTAATATTCTTATATTAATTGTACCTATAAAATGCTTCAAAAAAAGCGAACGATTTATTAGAGATAGTAATGGATCCTTGGTTACTACAAATGAAGGTATAGCTAAAGAATGGGAGAAATATTTTGAAGAACTACTGAACTGTGAAGAACCAGACGAATTGTTCATGTTTGACCTAGGAAATATAAACAACCAAGAATGTCCAGAGCCAACTCTAGAAGAAATAGACTTACAAATAAAGAATCTGAAAAATAATAAGTCTCCAGGCGAAGATGGGTTCCAGGCTGAATTACTTAAAAAAGGAGGGGAGGACGTGACACAATGGATCTGGCAAGTGATTAAACAAATATGGGTAACAGAAGAATTTCCAGAAGATTGGAAAACGTCCCTGATTTGCCCAATACATAAAAAAGGAAATAAACAAGACCGTAATAATTATAGGGGAATTGCCCTATTGAATGTGGCGTACAAAGTGTTCTCAAATTGTATTCTAACAAGAATAAAAGAAAAAACAGAACAGACAATTGGTGAATATCAAGGTGGTTTTAGACCGGGGAAGTCAACGACGGACCAAATATTTATTATTAGACAATTATATCAAAAAACGTGGGAATTCGATAGGGAGATACATACGCTATTCGTTGACTTCAAAAAAGCATACGACAGTATTCATAGGGAAAGTCTCATAAATATTCTAAAAGAGTTCGATTTTCCCCAGAAGCTGGTCAATCTAGTTTCAATTAGCATCATGGAAACCGTGGTCAAAATAAAAATCGGAAATGTGAAGTCTGATCCAGTGACAGTAAAATCCGGCCTTAGACAGGGTGATTCAATCTCACCTATTCTCTTCAACCTGGTATTGGAAAAAGTAATAAGAGAAATGAAAATTGAACCCCACGAAGGAATAAAACTCCGGAACTCGACTATTCCATTATTGGCATATGCCGATGATATAGTACTGATGGACGAATCTCAAGATGGAGTTAAACGGTTCTGTGGCAGACTAAATGACGCAGCACAGAAAGTAGGACTACAAATTAATGAACAAAAAACTGAATATATGATTATAGGTAGACAAAATTGGATGGATCAAGTTTTGGAGGTAGATCATTTTAAATTTAAGAGAGTGAATTCTTTCAAATATCTTGGCTCAATTGTGACTGAAAAAAATGATATCACCAAGGAAGTAGCCGCGAGAATCCAAGCGGGAAACAGGAATTATTATGGTTTGGAGAAACTATTAAGTTCTAGATCATTATCAAGAGAGATAAAGAGACGTTTGTATACTAGTCTAATACGGCCAGTGATATTGTACGGATCGGAAACATGGGCACTAAGGAAATCAGATGAGAATAAGTTCTTAATACTAGAAAGGAGAATATTACGAAAGATATTCGGCCCAATAAAAGATAACATCACAGGAGAGTGGAGAAGAAGAAAAAACATAGAGCTACAAGAAATTTTTAATGAAAATAACATAGCAGAGACGATCAAGAAAAAAAGATTGCGGTGGGCAGGACATGCAATCCGAAGCCAGAACTCTTTACTAAGAATGGTTCTAGAACAGAATCCAGTAGGAAAAAGGCCCTTGGGAAGACCAAAATTGAGATGGGAAGATTTAGTTAAGAGGGATATAGAAGACTTAGGAGGCGGAGCAAACTGGAAGGATTTGGCGATGAATAGAGATGCCTGGAGAATTGGTTGTGAGACGGGATGGTCCTAGCGGCCGATTAACCCAAGAAGAAGAAGAAGATAAAATGCTTGATATTTGTTCAAATATTTTGAAAATTACAATGTACATTTCGTAGAAAACGGTAATTTATATTATTATTATAATTATGTTGGAATGTTCAAAATTTCTATGGTTGATCATTTTTTGATTATCAACAAAATTACAAAAATTGTTAAGTTACAAGAAAAAAGCTAAAATCGATTGAGTAAAGAATAATTTTAATGTTTTAACATCCAATTTTGTAAAAATTAGAAAATCCAACGTATAAAAAAATAATTATGACAATGAAGTTTTTGAATTAATTTTATAAGATAAACCTTGTTTTAAATGTTGAACCATCATATTGTATTCAAATATAAAATTGTATGAATATTTAACATTTTTATGGTTTTGACTAAAATTGCCAACATTTTAACTTCAAACGCTTTAATCTCCAAAACGTGATCCATCCAAAAAATGCCGATTTTTTTTCCTTTATTTAAAATGCACAATCTGTACAAATCAACACAATAGGTTTTATTACCTATTGTATGATAATAGGGTTACTTATGCCATGTTGTGCATGGGTTAAAGGCTAACGAGTGAGTTCCTACTCACAAGTTGTTTTGCTTCCCATTATACCTAGTGACATCGTACTATAGTTAGGTTTGTTTTGTTGTTGTTATAGTTGTTACATGATGTTAAATATTTTATTATTTAAGAGACTCAAGTTAAAAGATATAAATTAGGGGGTTAGTTAATAATTGGGGATTTTCATTCCTGACGTCGAATTAAAAATATTATTCATCGACTTGTCATGGTTTTTAGTGCTTGGATCATGATGCGTAATATAGGTAAACAAAGTCGGTCCCCGATGTCAATGCGACCGATCGTCTTATTAATCTGACCGTATAACAAGTATTCGCCGATAAAATATGTTTTCGATCGAACCGATTTATCCTATGAATTACCGAATCTAGACGCATCTATCTCACTGTCGCACGTGGTGCATGTTTTTCGTCAGCATCGAAAATGATACCGAATCATTTTCCGAGTGTATCGATTATATAAGACCAGTTATACCGTCTGTACATTGTTGTATTATTAGGTAATTATATTAAAATATAACTACATATTGTGACAATACATAAATACAGTACAGTGTACTACTTACCGATAATTATATGCCTATTGTGCGGTCGAGTAAATGCCAAAACCATGTGGTATAAAACGTGTCATTTGATCGTATATAACTCGTCAATATATTCGGGTGCTTCCTATAATGCAGTCATTGTAATCGCGTAGTATATAATATAACATTATATGACATTAGTTATTATTTATTAATAACATAGTACGTAGCTTTTGATTGATGTCATTTTTGTAATAATTATTAAATTATAATACATATTCTGTACGAACCGTCGTCGTTGTCTGAAGGTCACGGCGACTCACGAGTATTAGGTACCTACCTACTTATATAAAGTTCCAATAAACCACAATAATAGTTTACACACAGGTGCAGTGCAAATAGAAAAGGAACACAGCTGAAGTATGGTCGCCCGGAGAAGAATGTATAACATGTTACCGACGACCGTTTTGTTCGCCATTATAGCGGCGACCGTTTTGAAGGATTCCGACGCTGTGAGTATTGTTATTTTCACCTTTACATTGGTAACCAAAAACATTACTGTATAGTTCCGAAAGAATAACACTCTATCATTCATACGTTGCGGTTCGTCGTGACATTTTTAAAAAAATATTCAAACGGAATATACGGAGATTATCGTTGAAATATATAATATGTATATTATATTATATTTTGTCGTAAATAACAATAACAATTATTATTATGATTATACGAACTATAATATTATAAATAGGGTTAGGATATTTATGCACTAAAAAATATATGAATATGTATGCACTTATGTACTAAAAATCAACTTCTACTTCTACTATTATAATTTATAATATTCGTTTTCGAAACTTTTCGTCGCTCATTTCTGCACCGTTTACAACAGTTACACGTTTTTAATCCGAGATCTAATAATATATCATAAGATAATATTCAGCATCATAATATGTTTTATTTATTTTAATTCGTTGATGACAATATATTTTATGATGCGGTCCCTGATGGTAGCTGAAGGCTGAACGCAACAAGTGCGTGAACGGCTGAAGTGTTAGCTGGTTTCGTAAAAAACATTACGTTAGATTGGACATGTATCATTGCTTTTGGATCTTTATTTTACTGTTCGATATAATCCATAATTATTGTTTTCAGTTCTTCAATTGACAATATATAATTATATATTTATAAATATTAAACTTCTGGAACAACCACTCTTTATTTAAATTCCAGTTGCTTGATTGGTCACTCGACCCTAGCCTATTGCCTAGATTATAACACCACGGTATAGGTAATAATTAGTTCACTATAACTCCTAAATAAGTTAGCGATGCTTTGGTATACACCCAACTGTTCAATTTATTATACGATCATTTCAAGAAATAAACGTTAACAATCTAAATTCAATACGAGAGCTTTGTAGGGATGTGAACCGGAAAAAACAATTTCGTATTTTGTGTACTCGTTAAAATAATAATACCTATCTATCCAAATGTAAAATAGTCGCTTTACCTCGTGCGCCTGATTATTATTGTTGTTGTTATTACTTATAATTATCGTTCCAGGAACACGCGTAAAATTGTCGACTAAAAGATAGAAATTTAAATTTACGATATTAGTGTATTGATAAAGGCGTTAATTCACGTACACAGAGTCTTGTAATTACATTGTACATTTGTACCACATACAATTAATATATTATTACCAATATAAATCGTTATACCTCCTATAGTATAAAATGTATAATATAATTTAATATTATTAACAATATTGTGCCTACATCTTTTTTCAAAATTTTAACTCTTTTAGTACTTGAGTGAAGCGGCCATTAAAAAAACACAACAGATGTTGAAAACCGTATGCTCCAAGAAACATTCAGTCGAAGAGGGTAAGAAATTTAAACACAATATTTAAAATGTGCATTTTAATTTATCCAAACTGATCTTATTTTACATGTGAATAAATAACAGAAGTATTTACTGACATCAAAAAAGGAATATTTCCAGAGGACAACAACAACATAAAAGTAAGGACATTTTTAATTTCTCTAACAATTACTAAACGTAGGTACCTACCTATTATAGAACGACTAGCAACTCATTAATTTAAAATTTAAATGCGTTTCAAATAGTAATAATTGTAAAAATAATAATAATATTATTGTTTTAGTGTTACTTTGCCTGTAATTTCAAAACTATGCAATTGGTAAGTACCTATTTATTATGATATTATGTTTTATGTGCATTGTATAAGTATACCTATATATTATAATAGGTAGGTAGGTATAATATTATTATGACACAATTTTCTACTTTAAAATATTGGTTTAACGTGTGATCTACCAATAAGTCAATTTACGATGTAATTTTCTGTATAACTTGATAAATGTATATAATATTAGATTATATTATTACTACGAAATAATAAAATGTATAGATAGATAAATAAATTTAGTATTAAATAGGCACCAATAATAATAAAAATTGGATTTTTTTATTTCTGAATGTGAAATAGTGGACAATTGTTGATGTTTATAATATTCGGTATAACCTTGTGTTCAGTGTGTTCATTATATTTAGCGTTATAATGGCTGCCGACTTTTATAAATTAATCGAATCGGAATCTAGTACGGTAAAATGTTAACAAACACATGGGTTATTACCTGAGGACACCAACCTCAAAAGTGTTCTAAATATGATGCAGTAACTAAAATGTGTTGAAGGAAGAAATATTTAGCAAATGGAGAAGTTTGGGAATACAAGGTGCGTACAAAAATGTTGTCAAACATTTCAATCAATGGGGAAAAATAATGTATTTTTTACTTTTACTGATTTAAACAATCATTGTCATTCAAACTCAAGTCACCGACAAATTTTGGAAATAGTGTTTTACTGGACTAACGACTTCCAATAAATGTTGTGTGTCGATTAACTGGTCTTTCTAAAGGAACAACAGTAGACTGATTTCACTTATGTCGCGATGTGTGTGGTACTCTATTCGATAATTGAAATGACGAAATCAAATGGGTGGGAAAGTAGTTCAAATAGATGAACCCCTTTTAATACAATTTTTAAATAAAAAATGTTTGCTGTATTCTGTAGATCACTAAAATTATGGTAGATTACACGTTAGACCATAAACTTGTAAGTAAATCGTACAGACAAATGTCTAGTAATATAGTGACTTTGTTATCGTAGTCATACATAAAATACAACTCGTCGATTGGTACAAACATTTTATTTTTTTTAAGAGCATGACGTCTGTGCTAATATTTTTAAGGAGTTTTATGTAGGCAATATTAACAACATTTTACTAAAAATTAAGATATATTATAATAATATATTACAAGACCTATGTATATTTTATATTATATTTTTAATATTTTGTATGTGTAAATATTATGTAAAGTGATTTCTAAGATTTCCTTGTATGTACTTTGCTTAACTGTTGCGTGATTACGAAATTATGTATAAAAAAAAAAAAATAGTCAGTAAAAACATACTCATTCAGATTGGTAAAATAACGGTGCAGAATGAATTTAGAGCAAAACATTCCTATTGATTATTACGGAAATTTTCGATAACTATTAGCAATATTATCTAGTGAATGACACATTATTTTCAATTTTTAGCTTTATGTTCTGTACCATTAGATATTTAAGTTTAAAGATTTAAATTTTTTCCTTATACATTTAAACAACCAAAACTTTTAAAATTTGAATATTTTGAAAAAGGACAATATGATGCTTTTTATAAAGTTGTACAGGTATCGACCTACTTCAAATTTAATAATAGCTGGTTATGGTATGTTAAAATCGCACACATTTTCATTTAAAACAATAAAAGGATTCTTCGACATTCTACTTTGATGTATAAAATGAGTAGGTACTCTGACATACTCTTATACAATATTAGTGTAATTGTTCATTTATATTAATTGAATTACACAACAAATACAACGGGTTATTATAAATTCAACTGGGACAATGTTTACTTACATATTTTGTTCATAATCTTTGACAATAAGTACGTTGTAAGTTACGGAAATTGTTTACACTGAATATAGCTCTGTGCGGATTTTGTAAACATAATTCATTATACCTATTAAAAAATGCATTAGGTAAACAATCATCAAATAAACAATAGTTTTTTTAGCATACCTTCCTTCTTTTCAATACAGAAAAGAATATTTTTTTAATTTAAATTAAGTTTATTATTGTATCATATATAAACAATAACTATGTATTAATATACTTTTTTAGTATAGACTCACACGTGACCGTGTGGACATTGCTCAGTTTTTTATTATTTGTTTGATTCCACATCACATTGTTATTGAACGTTTCTATTATATATAAATAATTTTACCTATTATTTGAATGCTATAAATAAGAACTGTTTAATCATATTGAATTTTAGAAAAAGTCATATAGATCGACCTGTAACAACAATAAAATAATCATTTCATTCGTCGAGTTACCTACCTCCTAATAACTGAGTATTGCCATTAAAAACAAAAAAATATAATGTAATTCATTATTAAAATACTTTTTGCAGTAAATTTTTGTAATTTTTAAATAACTAACTAATGTATGACATATTACAATAATAACATGACACGAATGACAAGTTAGATATCACCCTGCTGTTACAAATTTCTCTGGGATTTTTGCCTATTAATTTAAAACACAATATATCATTAGAGTGTTAGACAGAGTAATATTATAGTAGGTATATATTGTGTAGATTCCACACAAAACAAGAAATAAATATTTAATTCATAATATATTATTATATTATTTCGTGTAGTGTTCGGTTGTTCAAAGTTGGAAAACGAATGGACTTTGGCGTTATAGTTTCAATTAGTTTATTTTGTATAATAATATTATGTACACTATATTGCAAGTCACTATCTGCGATGATAATCAAATAATAGATATAACATTCTCGTGCTTGTATTTTGAATTCGCAGACTAAGAAAATTAAATTACAATAATACAGAGTGATTCACCAGTCATGCTCACCCTAATTTTTTTCTTTTAATAATAGATTCATTCAAATTCTGAATTTTGTAATTTGTGAATATATCTATACTCAAGGACCATATTTTTAATTATTTTATATTATTAATGGCTGATATAATATGCCGTGGGGCAATAAAAACTTATTTTTGAAAATAAGAAACAAGCATTTTCATTTTTTACTTTATCTGTATTGTCAAACATGTACGTTTTAAATAATATAAATAATAATAATAAATTATAAAATTCAAACGAGTAGGTATTTATAGAGCTACCTTTTTAACATTGTGAACTAAGGATAGATACTATGTAGCTTAAAAATAATAGTAGGTACCTAATTAATATTATAGTATGGTCACATTTTATAATTTTAAAAATGTCTACCTATATGTATGATAAATAGTTTCTAACTACTAAATTAAATATTTTATCTATTTTATATTTTTGAAAAATTATTTCCAGGGACTATATCCATAATATAGTATATATTTTAATAACTCTTTTGAATTTTAATCATCAAATATATCTTAATCATCTACTTAACAATAATTTACACGGGAAAGGGGGGTTCTCGTTTGAATTGAAAAGTAGGTATCGCAGAATACTCTTGAATAATGGTATACAAAATCCAAGTACTTGAAAATATTGACGTTAAATTTACTTGAAAATTTGCAAAACCAGTAGGTACATGCTTAGTGAATCATCCCGTATACCTACATATAATTAGTAACTAAATTCGACATTGTAATACAAGGCTACGATAAAAATAATAACAATAACAACACGTGTAAACAAATTTAGGTCAATCAAAAGGGATCCATCGATAAAAAAATGTTCAAAGACAAGATGTCGATGATGTCACCACCGAACGTATACAAAATTTTATTACCGGTTATAGAACAGTGTATCGGAACAGGTAATTGTATATTATAACACGTATATACCTACCTATTTACTATTATTTCGGTTAATTGAAGATTTATTTTTACACAAATTTTCTCTATTTTAGATAAAGGTGAAGAACTCTGTCAGTCTTCGTACAACCTCATAAAGTGCGCACACGCCGTTGATCCCAAAGTGAGTAAATAATAATTTTATAAAATATAAATGATAATTGACAAACAATTAATGCGTTTGCTAAAGGCACACTATTAGTATAATATTATAATATTATTTTGTTTCTATACATTATTAGCAACTAATAATATGTTTATTGAAAACTCATAAAAATATAATACAATGACTGAACAATTTAATTATTGTAATAATAATATTATAGTTTATTGGTAATATTATAATATACCCACGGTAAAAGCTAATAATAATAATGAAAAACAAATAGTGATAATAATAATATATTTATATATTAATATATGTGTAACAATACTTCGCAACAGATATTTTTGTTCCCGAAAATGCAATACTTTTTACTTTTTAACCCACCAGAGTGCAGGGTAAGTTCCCACACATGTGTATAATATTATGTATTTGCATTCCAGCATAACCGAGAAAACTTTCTCGAGACACAGTATACGTCATGTATACAGAGACCATAATCAGAAATAATAATATATGTATACCACTGGGATACATAGATAAATAGATTATAATTTATGTCTGGTATACAGGGTGACACTAGATTATTATCGGCTAGAGATTCCATCATATTACTATTGACATTTTTTTTTCGTCGATGCCTTTCGACACCTGACGTCGATTAATATTGTGTGCTCGACTCGGGTTAATGACAGTTGCCACACTTTGGGCCGTCATCAACACTTAGGCCAATTAGGCACCGTCCACAGCCGTAAAATGTTGCGCTTATATATTATAAGACTTTCGCCGAAATTATTATGACCGTTTTATATTATTAACGATTTCGACGCTAATCTGTTGCACGTGTGAGTGATAAGCACGTCTTGCCGAAAATAATAAGAACGGTTACTCTGTGACCAACTATCAGGTGGTGTTCCATAGGTTAGGTATAATGAATTATTGCGGTACATTGAAACGACGGATGGTGGCTTGCACATGATAGGTAATATATTTTATGTATACCTCCACCATTTATCGTTAAATACCTGATTTTTTGGGCATTTGTAAATTAACTTAAACAACATAATATAATCATATTTTAAGATTTTCTTTAAAATTTATGGAGTATCCTGATAAAACTTGTGAACATATTTTGATTAAAAAAAAAAAAAAGTATGTGTCTAAACTCAAAACATTTGAAGCTGGTTTGACTAGATTTTTAGCTATTGAACTCAATGGACCCTTTACATCAAATATAAAATATATTTAATATTACTAGTTTCTACTATTGTTATACTCGGACAACTTTTACAATAATTCTAAAAATTATTAAAAGGCTAATATAGGTGGGTATAAAAATATTGATTGCTGCTATAATTTTAAAATCATCATATGAACCTTTTATCGAAAATTATCATCCTCAGAACACAAAGTGTTAAAATTCAAAAACAACTGGTACGAAATTTTGATTGTAACTTAAAAAAATAAATCTGCTTAACAATTTACGATGGTTTTCCTCCGAAAAAAAGAAATTCAGAGGACACTCCACGAATGGGATAACAATTAATATTATAAGAATTTGATAATAATACTACGGTCATTACCTATATTAAGTCTAAAAAATCAGAATTTGATTATATTCGTCATTAAAGGAAAACATGGTGGTCAGGATATCCGGTTAATTGCCCTGTTTATAAAACGATTTTTTATACGTTCGATCGCTTCGACTTCCTCCATCGTGCATATCAATATGTCGATCATTAATTATTAACATGTATGTGTTTATGATTTTTTTTCAGAGTTTAGAGTATCTACCACTCTAGACGTCTTCACCTTCAATCAGCAGCTGATAGATCCCGGGTACAAAGAAACATTAAGATTCATCGTCTGAAGTGTTTTTTTATTGATAATAATTTGATTTACATTGTAGAACATTTTGTGTGTATTAAAAATTCAAATGCACTTTACAATTATCATGTTTTTTTTTTTTTATTTACAACAATTTATTATTAACAGACGGTACATCTTTTTTTCATTCCCTCCAATATAGACATATTATAACAGTTACAATTTATATCATATATTTGGTCAGCGCACACACAGACGGAATAACGAATGACCCGTAGATAGCTTATTGTTAACCTTTGTATGTTATACACGACTCACACAATCACAAACTCCAAAGTCTGTCTGGACGCTTGTTCAATTTGTACCTATATAATGTATACTATATTATTATAAAATTGTAATAAAACAACGCTCACAGTCTTCTCCCGACGGAGTGACAGAGTGATAATAACGACAATAATAAAATTCTCCAGCTCGCCCAAACGCAATCAACGTGCGAAATGATTTCGTCGACATTTTACATAACTTTGGTGTTCGGTATTGCGATGCTGATTTCATGTGGCTACGTAAGTATTAATTATTATTATCAGTCATAATATTAAGCTCTGAGTGCGAAAAATATTTTTACGATCCTAAAGATTGTATAGAGTAGGTATATATTAGGGCTTAATGTTTATAACTCGTAACTCGTAAGATACACCCTATTTAGCAAAGATGGACTAGCTAAGATAAACTATTAAAAAAAAATCGGCCCAACGCTTAACTTGTTATTTTAATTTTTAATTTTAAAATTTGTTGTTAATGTATTTTTTTTTTATCGATTCATAAGTAATTCTTCCCCCTTAAATAGTATTATATATACCTACCCATACACCATAAGAATATATTTTTCTTTTTACCAATGCTTCAGAGTTAGAAGTTTGTTAACAGCTTAATTTTTTATAATAAAAAAACCACTTTGCATATGTTTTAGTTTGTAAGAATTTGATAACGCATAAATACACCATTTTATTAAATTATATTTGATAGTCATAACTCATAACTCATAAAGTCATAAAATATCTTAAATATTTTGAGTTTTTATTTAGGTATTAATATGAAAATAAAAATACAGGTGGTTTCATTAGTTTATAAAAAAAAAATTGCGAATTTGTATTTTCGATATTTTCAACTGATGTAAGAATATCTTTTGACTCATGACTTATGAGGAACCTTAGATTAAATCTTCAAAATTGTTTGACGTATAAGAACATTTATTAACATAGTTAGGTACCTAGATTGAAAAAAAGCCGTCAAGTAGGTATAATCACTCTGTTGTACAGTCTGTTACTGTCAATTATGTACCTCACAACCTCGTCATTGAGTGGGTCACTATAACGGATGTGTTCAATTTGAAGTCAACAATAAAATATCATATGAGGTATACAATAAAAAACGATTCTGAGCGGAGACGGTATAACTTTTTGGTAACCATGGTCACCAAAGCACAAACTAACCGATTTCCTACCGGATTCGAGACATTTTCTCGAAGTTGATTGCATTTTTTTTGCTAGAAAAAGGTGTTCAGACACAAAAAAAAAGACAAGAAAAGAAAAACATACATCAATACATTAAATTACATTCAAATTGTAAAATCAATGCACTCATCTCAGCTGCTTATCTAAGGGTCAACAATTTAAATTGTCTATGAAATGCTAAAAAGGTGCTCTACTGTACAGTAGGTTACAAGTGGGTCACAGTATAATGGATGGTATTAAATTTGAATTCAATGATATAATACATTGTATGAGAAAAACGGTTCTGAGCGGAGACGGTATGTCAGTCTAGGTTTTAAGACACATTATAAACATAATATTATCAACGGTAGTAAAAAAAATATGCACAGTCTTATCATAGAGCATACTTCTTATTCATTATACTATGGTAGATTGTATGGATAGACCATAATATTTTGATTTTTTGATTTTTTAGTTTCATATATCCCCGAATAATATTTTTAAATAACAACAAAAAACTAAAATTGTTAATATTGATAATATTGATTTTAATATGTAATTTCGTCCAAATTTCGTCAAAATAATTTGCTAATTTTCGTGATTTTTCCATATTTTGTCAATTTATGAACTTTAAATGCTTAGAAAAAAAAACTGTGACTAAGGATTTTTAATATTTTTCATCTGCCTTTGAAAAAATATACTAGGAGGAGCCTTCTATTAAATTTTCAAGCTTTTTCAGCCAACAAATAAAATTTTATTGATATCTTTAGAAAAAAAACTAAAAATAAATGGAAAATGAAAATGTCCCTAAACAGTTCAAAATAAATCAAAATATTTTGAAAATGCTATAGTGTATAGAAAATGCAAATATAAGCAACCAGTGAAAATTTCAAGTGTCTACGGTCATTTGTTTTAAAGTTACACCAAAAACCAAATTCAATTTTGCTTAAAAATTCCCGTTTTTCCTTAATTTTTCTTTTGTTAATCTTGTCGCTTGTGAAAGCTATTGGGAATTTTAAATTTTGACCTCCCAAAAGTAGCAACTAGATTCACTTTCCCATCGAACAAGTTACTGAAGTTGAAAATCGAAGCATTATTTCGACTACTAATCGTGTACACAGACACAAAAAAAATAAAAAAAAAAAATAAAAAAAAACATACATCATTGTAAAATTAATACATTCATCGTTCCACTCAGAATCTAAAATGTTATAGAATATTTGGAAATTTCAATAATTATTTGACGAAAATATCAAGTATAATATGATATGGATTTGTTATGAATTACAACGAAAAAGTAAAATCGATTGGGTCGTACCTAAAGTCATTATTATTAAACGCTATCACATTCATGGAATAACTCAGAAACGAATAGTTCAAATTTTGATTTAGGTGGGTTAACTTTTTCATAATGAGCATATGATCATCAATTTATGGTTGTAACGGTGATTCTCATTTAAATAATTGAATAAAATTACGGTGTACCTTTAGTGTTTAGGTACTCAAAATTTCTAAGAACCAGAATTTGAATAATTACATTATTGTAGGATACTTCATCGTCATCATCGGTAAATCACTCAATCACTCTGAATATATAATATAATAATGTGTTATATCTTATATAATATAATATTATAAAAACACATATACTATAATAGGTCTATATGGCTGAATAGGCTGAATTAACAATTGATCGTTATAATAGTTACATTGTATCTGTCACATCATGCGTCATATCTTCCAGATACATTTTGTATACTTACCTATAACTATTTTATAATACACTCACCGCGTTTGTTTTAAATTATTTTTTTAATAATAAATACCTATTTTTTACGTTATTGTTATTATTATTATTATTATTAATGTGTGTATGTTTGTGTATACAGGGGCGATTTACGACGGAACAAATCGATTATTACGGAAAAGCGTGCAACGCCAGCGAAGGTAAAAAACGTTTCGTCGTCGACATTGTTATATTCGGTCGCGTTTCCGAACGCATTTCCTGCGGTTATTTAGTTTTTTTCGATGTTACAAATATAATCGGAAAAAAAAATCATAATAATGTAAGAAAAAATAAATCATACACAAAACTGAACAAAAACCCGAAAATCGGGTCCATTTATCGTTTACGACACTACAATATTATATTATAATATTTTTTATAGATATTTTGTGGGTAAGTAGCGCATTTATGACATTATAATAATACTATATCTCTGGCTCGGGTTGGAGTTACAAAATCGACCAAATCTCCGGATAATCAACTAACGCCATGACAATATTTTCTTATGATGATACTCACTCCTTGATACGATACCGGACGTTAACCGTGACGTTAATAATAGTATACAGGACGTTCGTAGTTATCGATCATCGTCGCGAATCACCATTAATCATCATGGTTGAGCGTGCCCTGTATACAGAGTGATTATTTCGAAATCAAACACTCGTTATGTTGAGAACAATATACGTTGGCCCCTTTTTTTACACAGATGGATTGAATAGTAATTATGACTTTAAATTAGTTATAAAAAAAAATCAGAAATATTAATATTTTTCAAATTAATGATTGTTTATAATCACTCGGTATTAGGCTGCAGGGAAATTTAACGACCTCCAATTATCCTTTAATAATATTGTAGGTGTTTGGTCGGATCCGGATTTTTGAATTTTTTAAGTAAACTTATTAATAAGTTTACATTTTTAATAGTTCCTATAAAAGAAAATTGTGGTGAGCATGGTTGGTGAATCAGCCTATAGGTTTATACCTACACGAATATAACCACCACAGTATAATGTAATAGGTACACACGATCGGATGATGGGCATACATCCCGCAGACGCTTTATTTGGAATAACACGTAAACCTCATAACCTTTTCTTTTCATTTTCGCGACGAATTTTCGGGGTTATTATGTATTTTATTAGTGACGACTGTCAACTATGAAATTTTATATTATTTTTGTTTGTAAAACTGGCGGTGGTTATTCAGAAGTCAGGTTCGAGTGGTTTGATGTGGTATTTAATGAGAACTGTAAAGAATGACTAGGCAATAATGAAATTGCCTGTTTGTATCCTTGTGGTCCTGGTTAGGTTATAGCCCTCGAATGAAAAATTATCTGGCACCCAAATAGGCACGCTAATTAATTTTTTAAATTATTATTTTTGATGACAAATATTGTATGAGGTTTCCATTTTATTTTGCCTCTACTTCCTTTAGGCGAAGTTGTAATACTATCTAGATACATTTAATTTTTATGGCCATAGAAAACGTCCCAAATTCCTGAATGACCCTTGAAAAATATTAACTGTGATCCCTGGGTTATATAACAATATGATAATATCATTATCTAAGCCCCGAATAAGTGAATAACTGCTTCCCGAATCGTGTTTTCTTTTTGTACATAACGAGTTTTATAATACGTCATGTAAACGTATGTATGAGGTGAGCAGGCGATCCAACTTTATTTAAAATTATAATAGTAAAACAATTGTTTATAAACGTTCATAAAGACGTATAACACTAAACAATCTACTAAATTGACTACATGATTGTTCAGACAACTTACGTAATCCCTGGGCAATGTTATTAATTTAACATTTTTCAATCATTCCTTAGTGACCTTACAGGGAATTTACGTAGTTGTTTAATGAATTATCATATTTGACTATAACATATACAGGTATATATTAGATTGTAGGTCTATACCGAATCCGTATGATATGATCTATTTAACGTAAGACAATCGTTTAAAAAAAAAAACTAGTTAAAATAGCCTATCTAAACTTTAAATACTTATGATTTATGAATAACTATATTATGATTAACAAATTACTTGTTCAAAATTCGATTTTTATAGACCCAAATATTCTAAAATTATTTTGTTTTGGAATATTAAATGAATATTGTACATGATATGCTATAAAATTAAAAACTTGAAAATTATGACAATAAAAAAATATGGTTTTTTTCCCAAAAAATTGTTTTATAACTACCTACTTAAATTGAATGAAAGAAATATTTTCAAAACGTTAATTTTTTCAAAAAAAGGAGTGTCTTACTTTAAATGGATCACTCCATATACCTAATATATAATAATATAATATATTATATTAAGTATAGTTATCAAATATGTATATCATGGGCTGAGATCACGTTAAAAATTTTTTTTTAACGTTTTCCTGTTGTATTGTTATGCGCATCGGTATATTATTTATACTTATTATCACGTGATTGTAATAGATAAACCGTTAGACACAGTAAAGCGAATTATGCAGCACAGTCGAACATCGAGATAAAAAAAGGGCCTCGCGCCTTCAAATAAATAAAATGATTATAAAATAAAAATAATAATAATATATTAATAATCAACAACTGATGTCATATTAATGATATCATTCAGTATTATAATATACACGTTTTCACTCTAGCCACGAGGCACAGATAAGAATAATATAACGTCTGACGTCTGTGCGGTAGAAGATCCGTTTTTTTTGCCGACATTCAATAATTTGTTAGGTACGCATGGAAATATCTGAAAAAAAAATGTTTTAAAAAAACTGTTAAACGATCAAAGAAATGTCTAAAAAACTTCACTGTAATATTTCATGGATATAGATAATGGTTATTACTTATTACTTATCAGGTATCGGTTGGAATTTTGTGTCCATTAGGCATTAAGTCGGCTTACGTCTATGAGTTTTGTGCAGGGTGGGTTTTTTTGGTAAAACACAAAGACGACTTCTTCAGGATTTATACAACTACAAGTTCTGCTCGTATCTTTGTAAACTATAATTTCTACTTTCCAAACTTCCAAGTGTGTGTGTGTGGGGGGGGGATCCTATACACAAACTTAAAAACAAAAATCGTGAACGGTAAATAAGAACAGTAAAGAAAATTAGGACATAACTATTCAAACGATTTGGTTGCTTACTACAGTTTATCGACTTATCGTCGCAGTTTTCTTGCTTTATAATATTTATTGTTTGGTTTTACAACGAACAAAACTTGCAGTGGCAAGTGTTCATTATAGAACCGATCTATAATTGACAATACTTCAGCTATATTGTATGCTTACACTCTTTGGTTCGTGCAATCTATATTATGCTCAAGTTGCTTAACTTTTTTATGACTTGCGTAAAAATGCGTAGTATGAACATAATGTCATATACAGTTTAAATATTTCTTATATAACCGTGATCAGTGGCGTCACTTCAGTTTTTATTAGACTAGGGAAATTGTTCACTGCTTTTCCGACTCAACATTTTTGTCACCCAGATTCTTATAGCATAGTGCAATATAGGTTAACGGGGGGGGGGGGGGGGGGGGGTGGTGGTAAATGTGACAACTTAAGGTTGATGTAAATACTAGACTGGGGAAAATGCTCCAGTCCCCCCCCCCCAAATGACGCCACTGCCCGTGATACAACTGATGTTGTTCGTAAATGTAAATCGTATAAATTGTCATCAAACATGAACTTAATAAGTCATAACGACAAACGGCCGTATAGTGAATAATTTTATTGTTTTTTACGTTAAAACCGAATCTGTAATAAAACACTTCAGATTTCCGGTTACGATTTAGTTATAAATTACTTACCTAATCTGTAGTTTTCACCAGAGAATTACAGAAACAATATCGTACGATGTACGTCATCGATCAGTAAAAACCACGTTATTAATCGATATAAATACATAAAATCTATACAATATTATTACAGTTAGATCGCAGACGAACAAATTATTGTTATTCAAATATACGCCAGTATACCAATGCAGGTATGTCATGTTATGCAAAACGTTTTCTTACCCTCAGGCAATATTGTTAGAGGTAGGTATATAGCTAAGTACACAAGTGGCCAAATAAACTTTTATAAACTACATTTTTGAAGTATACGAACTTACATATTTATAATAAGCTATATATACAATATTCATATAATCGTATTACCTATAATATTATACCTAGGTAGTAGATACCTGTATTTTAGTAATTTGGCCAAATAGCTGGAGTAGGTACTTAGCTCAATATTGTCAATATTATATAATGGTTTTGACATTTTTATTGATCGCGTACCATGTTAAACTCTTGAAAATCTCTTATTATTTACACTGTTCTTAATAAATGTATATTTCTACAGTTAAATTATTGCATTTTACTGTTTTAGGTTTAAAAAAAAAATTCTCTTCCAATATGCCGCGTGTCGATTTTTCACAAGTGGTCAAAACATCGGAAAGATAATAATATACTGTGTAGTGTATGGGTACAAATTTAATAATATAACTATATTTGCCTTAGCTAGTTATACGATAACGTGAATATAAAATTGTTGATTACGTCAATCATAATTTATTTAACACTATCTTAGATCTCAAAAACATTTAACTTCGTTAAAAAATGCATTCCCTGCAGTTATTGCTATAATTAATATAATATGCGTTGGTAAAAATATGATTATAATATCGAATTACAGTAATTAGAAAGGAATGTGCAGGTAATAATTATATACAAGATTATTCACGATCCTATTCCACGTTTATATATTATAACATAATTAAACACATTATTAATACCCACAACATTATTATCATTTATCGATGTAGATAACGTTTTAAATAGGTATTATTCAAGTGTTGGCTATATCGACAACCCAAGTCATAAAACACTTCATCCACATTACAAATATAATAAATTAATAATTATAAAGAAATAAGAAAACTCTTAGTTAAATTATTCTTGTTATATAAAATTGCAACAAATATACTAAATTTCATTTTTACATTCAAATATTTTTTTAAGCAATTTTCTTTACATTACATTAGTTTTTTTTCGTGAGACTCGTAGGGATTTTTTCGGGAGAGGGATTGAAGTTATATTATTCTCTCTAGCCACATTTTCTACGAAAAACAACAATTATGTGCCAGGTTTATATCATCTATAGCGG